TTATTCCTTCATCTAGAAAACAGCTTTCTTCAGGTGGTCTTATATTTAACTTACCATTGATGAAATGACTTAATCTAAGTTTTTGGGCCCTGGAAAATAAGGATAAACTTAAAAAGGAAAAGAATATAGTTGCTCAATTTATATTTGGAAAATTGTGGGAAAAAAGAAGCAAATAATGAAACAGAAATAGCGCGTCAGAGAGGCTCTTCAACGTTTAACGTCGTGACTCCAAGAAAGAAATGTTCAAGGCTTTGTTTTTAAATCTCTCCTTAACAGATTACCAGATGAGTGGGTTCCTTTAAATGAGGTTCAAAAGCATAGGACACGAACTGTACACATCTCTCAGCTCCCAAACGACGTGGCCGCTGATTTGGATCCCTCGTTCTACAGACAATTGTCCCACAGAAAACACCACCGCAAATGATTATCGCAGTTTGTTACAAAGTGTAGCATTTATAGAGATCTTAGTCCTTTACATGCTTTCAAAGTTATGATACTCTTGAGAAAAGAAATCCCTCTTGACCATCAAAGCTAATCGGTGTTACCATTGGGCTAGCTTTCACACTCTCCTTGATTGCGTTAGAAAACTCTAAGCACTCTTTCCACCAATCGTATGCAAGAGTAAACCCAGCCATGATTTTCTCAAGGACGAGGGCGTTATATGTGTCTACTTTCAGTTCGCTTTAGGCTCCTGGAGTTCTTACACGTTACTTTGTTCTGGTTGGCCATTGTAAATACGCTGGTTTTGGTTTTTACGACTTCAGTGGATAAAGGCTTCAATTTAGCTGACGCTCTCTCTCAAAATTCTAACTTTTCTTTCTCCTTTCTCTTCACGGTCACAGCTTTTCTGCTCGTGTATTTATAAACCTCTTTTGGAGATTATTGCTGTCATTTCGTTTTCATTTTAAAGTTAGGTTACTTTTATCGTTCTGTGCGACTGTCATCCGACTTTGTTCTTAACTCGTCCTACAAACGTTTATTTTTGGAATAAGTAGCTTAGATGAGGTGAACCGTCTCTCAAAACTAACTTATGCTTTTGTTATCTTTGTGAGGCGTGTAGAAATTGTGGGCTTTCTTTGTAATGGGGCGCTTTCTGTGAACTTTCTTGGATGACAGATTATTCCATCGGCTTTCTTAATGCAACTTGTCAAATTATACATTTGTAAATAGTTACACAAAGAGACTATCGGGGTTTGGACAGGCGCAAATATTTTCGTCATCTCCTCTTGTGTTTACGCCTGGCTGTCTCGAAATACGTAGGGGATTAATCGTGATAAATTAGCAAAGCTTCTAGTTTATTGTACAGGCAGCACTGCGGCGTGGATAACTGCAGTACTGAAGTGAGTTTAATATCTATTTCTATTTATTTGCTGCAATATATTTTGTTCACACATGACAGAGTTTATGAATAAAGCTATACTGTACATAACTTGCTTTGCAATAAATGTGATATTGATTCTTCCTAAGCTGGAATTTGATGCACAGTTGTTCGATCATTTGAAAATGATTCACCCTCCAATTGAGAGGCGAAGAATACCTATTTCGGTCCATCGTGAGGAGTGACCACAATTCTCCTCTTTCCCCTCATTGCAGCCGACACCTGTTCCAGATACCATCGTTATGTTGTTCACATGTCGAACTGATTGTTCTGATTAAAGTTGGTCATTGACAAGTTCAACTTACTAAAGCTGTCAAAGACCATGGTGTTAAAGGGAAAATTGAAACGCGAAACAAACGCGAAGGAAGCACAATCGTTGGGCTCTGGGGCCTTTGTTCGTTCTTACTTAAAACGTCTTAGTTTAAATAAATTGACAGAAAATGATAGTAAACAGATATTTGAGCTACGTTTTTTTTCTTGCTTGTTCATAACAAACTATGCATCCGAGATTTCACAAGCAATTATCTACTCCTAAACTTGAACTTTTTAACAAAGCGCCCTTAAAATCAAATTATCATCAAATGCACACCACTTCTTTCAACCACATAAGCTCATTTTTAGTTTACTAACTCTTACATGACACACTGGGGAGTGAAATTTACCTAAATATCGCAGCAGATATAAAAAGAATATTTTAAAGAAACGGACTTCATAAAGAAACTGTCTTGATATACCTTATTTTTAAGTTAAAAAAAATATATTTAATACGTAAGTAGGTTGACAGAGCTCTTATTTTTTGGAGCACCGCCCTTGTGCAAGATACTTCATTTCCACGTCACTAAGAGCGTAATTATAAATGATAAATTCATCAACTAGTCCTGTTAAATAAGATCCTGTATAAAAATGTCTTCCGATACCGGCAAAATGGCCCCAATCTTGAGACAGGTCACCGCTCGCAGATTTTTGTTTCACCATGACTCCGTTAACATAAACTTTCGCCAGCATGGCTGTAGAGTCATACGTCACTGCCACGTGTGTCCAGTTGCGCGCAGGAATGGAGGGAAGGGTGACGACATTGAACACTTCTTTGTCGTTTTCTTGGTGATGATACCAAATTACCTTCCCATCCTGCACTGCGAAGTGGTATTGGTCATGCTTGTGATCGGAATGGCTTCCGATTGTATTAAATATTTCGTGCTCTTTCCTATGTAAAATGCAAAAAGAATCTCAGTGAATTAATTGAGTCTAAAATCATTACTGGAGACAAGCATTTTAGCACAGCTGTCTCACTTTGGTTATCGAGAGAAGTAGAAAATTACATCGAATTCTTTGCGGTAACACCTCTCGCTATTTTAGGGGGAAAAATAATCCGCCTCCATCCAAAAGAGACAAAGTGGGAGAGAGTTTTTAAATATA